TACTTACCAGCCGCTGCTGCTGCTTGTCATGTCATGTAGGCGTTTAAGTGGCATTGGCAGAAGCCGCCTCGGAAAGGTTTTTCTTTCTTTCTTTTTTTTATTTTTCAACTCTGCTGGCAACTGAAATGTCAGGACAACAACTGACTGCCGCCCCTAAATCAAAGCTCAAACCAATTTCAAAATCTGCACCCTCTGGTTAGTTCCCCTGTGTCTGTTGTGGCCTCTCCCGACTCCCACTTACGCGCCAGCGGACGTCGCATTGATTTGCTTTGATTTATTGTGCCGCCAAAGAATGCAGCGACGTTTCCCAGACCCGCTACCAAATGGAGGCTGCTGCTGTTTGCTGTTTGCTATTGCTTTTGCTTTTGCTCTTTATGCTCCTGAGGGGTTGCGACCGCCTACAACAACAACAACAACAACAAACAACAACAATAACAACAAGAACTTGCACTCGAGCTGAGCTTGAAGCACAATTCATAACGTCGCTTTCGTACTAATTACAAAGAGTGCTACCCCCTTACTCCCAGCTGACCCTACCACTCTCTCTCTCTCTCTCTCTCTGTCTCTGTCTCTCTCTCTCTCTCGCAATCTCAGTGTCTCCATATCATGCTCTCTTGCTCGCTGTCTGACAGCTGCCATGCGACAAAATAACGCGTCGACCGTTCGACTCACTTCAGAAAACAGCTTGAGACAATGCTGCATGCAAAAATTCTTCATGACTACCAAAAGAGTACGAGTATTTATGCATTATAATACATACTGCCACACACACACACACACACACACACACACACACACACACACACACACATCTAGTCACACACACATTGCCAAAGGGCTGGAATCTTTTTCTGTTCGAAAGTGCGCGCTTTTTGACATGTGCCGCGCGCACGACTCGCACACAGCGATTGAGAGCGTTGAGCGTTGAGCGTTGAGAGCTAGGGTAGCGCTTGGGCCGGTGCAAGCGGCGGGGGTCGCGGGCAAGTCGGCGAGTGGTATTTGACTTGGTTGTAAAGCATTGAAGTGCTTATGTGCACGCGATAGTTGCTACAATTGCTGAAGAGAGCGTGCAAAAAAAGAAAAAAAAAAGAAAAAAAAAGAAATAACAAGAGCTCAATTGCCCAGCGGCTGATCCTTGAGAGAACCTTTGAGCTCTGAACCCACAATCAACTTGAAAGCGAAACCTCTAGCAAAAAACAAAAATGGAGCAGACTTACTTTGTAGCAACAATAATATTGAGTACAAATATTCAAACATTATCCAAATTGTTGCAAGCTTGACCTCAAAACCAAAGCTGTTAAGTCAGCTTATGTTCCGATTAAATAATTTCTCAAGTTTTGGTTACTTTTATTATTATTCATCTGGATGGGAAAAGCTTAAAGGATAATTTTACTTTGCTATCACATTTTTTTTCTCGATTATTTCAAGTTAAAGTGAGTTACATTCTTTGCTTAAATTTGTACATCAAGTTGACTGCCTTGCCCAGACTCGATTCTTTTTCAACCAGCCAGTAATTTCAATGATGCCCAATTGAAGTAAAATGTATAGACCCTTCCAGCCGCTTACATGCGCCCATTAAAAGTTCAAGCTGTGCTCGGAGCCCGCTCGTTTTTGGCTAATAGAAATGATAACAGCATTGCACATTGGTCCCGCTGTTAACATTTCACTTAACATTTTTGGCTAACGTTTGGTTTTTTTTGTTTTGCTCATGTTATTTTATTTTATTCACGTGTTTTTTTTTTTTGTTTTGCTATTTTTGGTAGGTCCTTTGAAGTGGCGACGCCGGCACATGCAAAAATATTAAATGAAACTCGCTGTGCAACCCGTCAAAAAATAAAACCAAAAAAAAAAAAAAAAAAACAGAAAAGTGCCCCAAAAAGAGGAAGAAAAAAACGCTAAAAGGGTGCTCAATACTAAAGCCTTTTCTGCCATAAGCTGACCACACACACACACACACACACACAGACTGGACACACACACACAAAGCAAGCGGCAAGCGGGCGGCGAGCCATTTGAAGTGGGCACCGAGCCTATACAACTGCCCGCACTCTTCCACATGTGTGTGTGTGTGTGTGTGTGTGTGTGTGTCTGTAAAAAAACCAACAAAAAAAACCCGAAAAGTAAAACACGAGCAAAGTCACCCGCATTTTAGTTAATTAACTCATTTGGTTGGCAACTGCTGCTAAGCCGCTCGAACTGGGCCACAAAAGGCTGAGAACTGGGCCCCAGACGCAGCATCCAGCTCCTGCTGTTGCCACTCCTTTCCCATTCCGATTCCAATTTGTAGTTCCCATTCGAGTCGTAGCAGTACATTAATTGATTTGCTCAGCAAGTGAGCAAAATGCGGCGACGTTGCCAAAATTCGTTTTCGGCCAGCAACAGCAACTAGTTTTGCCACTGTGGCCAGCAACAAAACGCAAGTGTTGCGTTTCTCACGGGGATTGCATTTCAAAAGGACGCCAAGAAACAAAAACGTGGCAACTGCCCGAGCCTGGCTGGCCAGCTCGCAACACACAGTTTGAGTGCCACTGATCGATTTTGCAGCAAAAAGTCAAAAGAATAATTTGTGTTTTGTTTTTTTTTTTGTTTTTTGTCCCCCCTTTTTTTTTTGTTCTTTCTTGTATTGGTAGTCATCGACTGACTGGCATTATGAAAACAATTTTCAAGCTTAAGCAGCTCAACAACAGTAACAGCAACGTGCCACAGACATTGCCGCAAACAGTAAGCATGAAAATCACAGCGCCCCTAGACGCCTCCACCACCCTTGCGCATAACAGTCCGCCCAGTTGTAAAAGCCTGCGCGCTCTTGAAGGCTGTCTGGCATTTAAAGTCCCAGCAAACGGGCAAGGACAAAACTGCAGCTTCCTTTTTGCCACCCAAAAAACCCCCGCATCGCAGACGCGAATTGCGCCCAACAGCCGCTTGTCTCTTGTTTGTACCTAAGAGCTTTTAAATATCATAAATATATATCTATGAGACGACGAGTCGAGCCCAAAACCGAGACTGCGTCGCCTTCCCCGCCAGAGCCTCAGGCTTTTGCTTACGTTACATTTGGCTGCGGGTTCAGGTTTGGGTTTTTGGCTTGGGTTTGGGTTTGGGTATGGGTTTAGGTAGGGGTATGAGCTCGCTTGGTTTGTTGATGATGTTGACAAATATGCCTCGAGGGCCATTCATCTGCAAGAAAAAAGATAAACACAGCGCACGACAACAACTACAACAACAATAAGTACAGCAAATTCCGGCGGTTATACGAAAGCAGTCTGTTGTCTTTTAGCTGCATTTTAAACCAATACACATTGTGGCGAGCAGCTAACTCTTCAAGGCTGACGCTAAGATAAACATTGGCCAGCCAGCTGATATTCAACCTAATGGACTTAGCAAGTTGCAAGTTGTCTATGTTGACACACGTCTCAGATAAAGCTCATAAGACTTGACAAAACCTATTTTGCTCAATTGCTTTATTAGAGTCCATAAGAAATTATGATTATTATTATGTAATATATTCTTAATATTGTGATAGTCATGAACGTTAATCTATCAGTTGATGCAGATCCAGACACATCCGTGATAAAGACAATATAGGGAATGGAATTCTACATTTCCTTGATAGTCATAACCTGCGAAAGTTCCGTCTGAACCGAAAAGAACTTCTCCTAATCGTTTACATTTTACCACTCCCAATCAACTGCATTGCAATTCAGCCTTAACCCGACCCTTATAACGACTTCCTGCTTAACTTTGTGAGAGGCAGGGTTAGTAGCTGCCATCGTCCTCGACGTCGTCGTCGTCATCGATATGAGGAAAAAAAAACTTGTATAAGAACTGCAAAGGCTGAAAAACTGTAGCTCACACCGACAAAGTCTTTTCGGCAATAGAGAGAACTATATGCCCATCGACTAATTTCCAAAGTTCTTTATTGCCTGCAACGCCCCGGCTGCTTTGGACCTCGCCGCCCCGCTCCTCGTCAGTCGTCTCGTCCCCTGGCCACCCATTGGCTTCCGGTATTTATACAAATAAAATTGCACAAAACTCAAAAACCAAAACAAGTACAAATCAACAGAAAATCGAAGTCAAAGTGCCTCGTACCCAAGAAAAAAAGTCATTGCCATCCGAGACCGAGGAAAAGTCGTAGGAATCGCTTTCTAGCATTAAGGACAGGACACTACTACGGCACACTGCGCCGGACCCGACTTGACTGTGGGTTGGGCTTGAGGCATTTGGGTTAGGCTGAGCTCTGGGCTGGTTTTGGCTCTGGCTCTGGCTCTGGCTCTAGCTCTGACTCTAACTCTGTTACTGACTCTGGCTCTGGTTCTGGCTGTGTTGCTGGCGCTAGGTCCTGGGCCCAGACTAATTTGCCAAAAAAGTTTGCACCGCATATTTTTGTAACCTTTTTTGTCGCTGCTGATGTTGCTGTTGTTGTTTTAATTTCTCATTTGGCATTTGATTTCAAGCAAAGTCCACGTCGCAATCGTCGTCGTCGTCGTCGTCTGGCTGTGGCTCGCAGCCCAGGACTACCCCCTTGGCGAAGGTCAACGCTAATAGCACTAAAATTTCAAGTTGGCTTATCGATACCAACGATAAACTATAAATTGTGTCGGCTGTTTGTTGCTATTTGGTTGCTAATGCAAATGGGCCACTGCAGACGCCCCTCTCTGCCGCCCCAGCAATTCGTATGCTTTTTTTTCTTTAAGCCTTTTTTGTGTGCTGGCTGGCTGGCTGGCCAAAAGTTTTGCAACGTATTAATTTGGCTAAATTTAACCCGTAATGACTTTAAAAGTAAAATTAATGAGGGTCGATAGTTGCCTTTTGGTTTCGGAAAAGTTTGCGCCCAGAAACATATGCGCCTGACAAGGGGCAACCAATGGCAAGGAGGGGTGTGCGGGCGGGCGGGTGGGCGGTTTGTCGGGCGTGTTGAAACTAGACTTACTCTCTTTTACTCTTCTTCTCACACATTATCTCTCTCTCTCTCTCTTTCTCTCTGTCTCTTTAAATTTGTACAGCGCGCTACACTAGCCGAGAAGGAAGTGAACACACTCAAGGAACAACTATCCACAGGCACGCCAGGCAGCAACAGCGATAACAGCAACAGCGACAACAGCAATACAACAACAGCAGCAGCGGCAGCGGCAGCGGCATTGGCCAGCGGCGAAGAGGAAGCCACTGGAAACAGCGAAAGTGAGAGCGACAAGCTGCTGAATAGCTCGATTGTTGCAGCGGCCATAACGCTGCAACAGAACGGCGGCAATCTGCTAGCCAACACAAATACACCGTCGCCATCGCCGCCGTTGCTGAGTGCCGAGCAGCAGCAACAGTTGCAGAGCAGCCTGCAGAACGGCGTCGGTGGCGCTTGTTTAAATCCCAAGCTCTTCTTCAATCACGCACAGCAAATGATGATGGAAGCGGCAGCGGCTGCTGCGGCGGCAGCAGCTGCAGCGGCAGCACAACAACAGCAGCAACAATCGCCCATGCACTCGCCCGTTGCTGCAACAAACAATACGCAAGCAGCAGCAGCAGCAGCAGCAGCAGCTGCAGCAACTGCAACAACAGCAGGCGTAACACAGCAGCAATCAGCACGCGATCTTGCTGAGGCAACAGCAAGTAGCAATTGCATCGACGACGATGGCGAGGACGATGACGAGGAGGATGCTTCGATGCAATCAAATGTGGCGCATGCCGATGGTGATCTAGACGATGATGATATGGAGTTGGAGCCGGAGCATGTTGCTGATGGTGGTAGTGTTGCTGCCGCTAAGTCATTGGCAAGAACTGATAGCATTGGCGATGCGAATGCAACACATAATGTTGATGATGGTCATCATCGTGGTGATGATGATGATGACGATGTTGCCGATGTGGCTACCGATGAGCATGAGGATGACGAGGAAGCTAGTTTAAATATTAGCAATAATCACAACAACAACAATAATAACAGCAACAATACTGATAGAAACAATAGCTGTAGTCGAAAGAGCAACAACAGTGAGGCGCAACATGTTGCACTGCGTGATAATAATGTAAATGAGCAACATGTGGCACATTGCGCTGAGGACGACGATTGCACCAATAACAATACTAACACCAACAACAACAACAACAACACCAACAGCAACAGCAATGAGAAGCGCAAAAAGCGCAATGCAAGCAACAACAACAACAACAATAACAACAACAACAATCAGCCCGCTGTTCTATTAGCTGCCAAAGACAAAGAGGTAAGTTTTTCAATACTCTACACGCAATTTAGCGAGCAGCCGCTCTCTGTTCATTTAATAAACTGTCTATGCAACACCGCACCACACCACACCACACAACACTACACTCTACCATGCCACGCCTCCCTCCCTCTGTGTAGACAATTACCCAGAGCAATGAAATGTAAAACCGTTAAGATTAGACAAATGTTGCCACCCAAAAATACAACTAAGAGCTGAGGAGTCAATTCGCAACCCTAGCCGAAAAAAAAAAGAATGAAAAAAAATGAAAACATTTTCAAACCGCAGACGACGACGCACGACTGACCCGCCTGTCGTTGGTCCTTGGGCTCGTCCTGGCTGTCCGCACGCACAATTGAGAAAACACTTGCATAAGTAAACAAAACAGCCAACTCGCCACGCCACGCCACGCCATGCCATGCCCCGCCTCCAGCCCACCTTATAACCACAGGCAGCCAAGCAGCCAGGCAGCCAGTTTAGCGCATTTTTCTTCTAATTTTCTAGCCAAACACAAGTGCAAAAAAAAAAAAAAACAGCAAGATATACAAGGCAAACAAATGAGCGTCCCGGCAGCTATCGAAACAAAGCAGAAAAAATAAAAAGGACTTTTGACTTATTCTTTACACGACGCTATAAGAAAGGGCAACGTGAAAGCAAAACACAGAAAAAATATGCGAGGGATTTGACTCGGCGACCAGAAGGAAATATCCCAAAATAAAAATACAAAAAAAAACTCAACCAAAAAAAAAATGCTGTAGAAAAAGTTAAAATAAACTTTCTACGAGACACTTTGATTGGGGGAAGGTTGAACTGTGGACTAACTGGCTGCAGGGTGAAGGAGCTTTGTGTAAAGTGATATCATTAAAATATTGACATGACAATTTTAACGCCTACAATTTGTTGACGGCTTTTGTTTACATTTCTTGTCATCCGCGTTGCCAACTCCTGTTCTTACCACCAATCATCACTTGTGGATGGCCAAACCATATTTTCTTAGGGAGAAGAAACCGCTTAAAAATATCTATTAAACTGGTTATCGTTTTAACTGTCGATTGGATCTTATTTCTGTCTACGCCAGTCTTAAATATCTGTCAGACAAGTCAGTATGTGCTGGTTGGGGAACGTTCAAGGATATGCCAAAAAGAAGAATTAGGCAAGGGTCTCTTTAACTTTTATCCCTTTCTTTCTCCATATATCCATCTCCTTCCCTTAGATTTGTGTCTTCTTTTCTATGCCTACGCTTTTAGAAGTCTCTTCCCCTGTTTTTTTTTCCTCGTTTGTTGCATCTCTTGTCCCCTGTCGATGCTTCTTTGCAATTTCTCTAATGCAGGACAAGCTTCGCGGCAATCTCCTCTCCATTGTGCCCACATTGAATGATTGCTTATTGCCAGTGCCACTGCCCCCAATACCCAAAAACTCAAACCCCCAACACAGCAATAACAAAAAAAGCGCGCTGCAAATGTTGCGTGCAAATGTGGTGGTTGTCTTGCAACACAGTGCTGCATGCACTTAAGCATCAATCATTATCATTTGCACTGCAACATCTTTGCCATTCTGCGTATTCAGGGCATCTTTCGCAGCTTCTAACTGCCATTAGCAACCCCAAGGTGTTGATGCAACAGAAAGTACAAAAAATCGACGACAACAACAAGAAAAAGAAAACGAACCGCAGCGCCCCTCGTTGCATTTCTTTAATGTTTTATCACTTCAGTTGGCAGACAGAGCAGACACAATCTCTTAGCCTCACTCATACCTCCATAACACTCCCACTGCCACTCCCACTGCCACTGCCACCACCATCCCCACTTGCTCTCTCGCTTTATGTATTTTACTTACCTGCCACTTATAGCTGTTTTTCTTTACATATACATTTTCTTCGTTTTGTTGTTTATTTGAAATCCATTAAATGCTATTTTTGCCAAATGCTGCGGCTCTAAAACGTTTTCCCGAAAACGAACCTCGTTTTGTTTTAGCTCATTAGTTTGATTACTAGCGCCCCCTGGCGGCGCCCATACTCAACAGCCAGCCATATGCACAGCTCCAGAAGCGAGCAGCAGCAGCAGCAGCAGCAATACACAGCTGTAATAAATGCACTCTGCTGACAACTAAATCACTTACGTGTGTGCCCAAAGATCCCAGATTTATCTGTTACACATGTTCATAAATATGCGACAATATTTTTTAGACGCCGGGCACGCAACAGGCCGAACAACCGAAATGAAAAAAACCAAAAATAAAATGCAAAAAAAAACCAAATTTGCAAAAACTTAAATGACAAAAAAAAGAAAGAAAGAAATGGAAAAACAACAACAAGCAAATATGATCGACAGTTGTGCAAAAAATTATGTTAAATGGAATTGCAACAGTTGTTTGTTGTTAGAGACTGTCTTGTCTGGTCTGGTCTGGTCTGGTCTGTTCTGTTCCGTTCTGTTCTGCTATCTGGTATCTGGACGTCAATTCCCCTACCACCCTCCCCGTCCATCCCATTCCTCCCTCCCACTTGTTTAGTGCATTTGTTTGTCTTGGCGCAATGCGTGTTTATTTTTTCGCAGAAGTGCATTTTATAGACAAAGTGCACGAAAAGCGTGTAAAAATAGCAGCAGGCGAACCATGGGTTAAACACGCCACAAACAACAACAAAAAATATTGTATAAAATTAAATGAAATGATGCATGATAAAAATTGTTAACAAATTAGCAATTCTAAAAAATGCCAAAGACCACATACCACCTACCCAATAAAATCTAAAACACTTCCGCTCTGATTTCGTTACAATATATTATACTATCTATGTATACCATCTGTACATACATACATACACACACACATACATACATAATACATACTTAATTATATATATCAGAAGAAGAAAAGAAATGACACGTTCAGTTTCGTTTCTTATTGGTGTTTGTTGTTTTGTTGTCGGTTGTTTTCTTTATCACGCAACAAACAAAAACAAAAACAAACAGTTCAACCCAAAAGAAATAATAATAGAACACTATATATGAACATGCATGAATATTAAAAAATGCTAAATGCTACTTTAAAAATAATACGATAAAAAAAAGAAACGAAACCATTTTTGCAAAGTCGAAGCTTAAATACACTCGCAAATTGATTTTTATAAGGACAACATAAATATGGTTAACGTGGAGAACAGAATATATATAGAACAACATTAACAATATAATTTTTTTAGATAGATTTATACATATCTACCCTTACATTTCATAACATAAATGCAAATGAAATTAAATTCTGTTTGCTTTGTTTTGCGGGAAATGCGAGTTTTTATCGCTGGTTGTCAAAAAAAAAAAAACAAATTATATATGTATGCATATATAATAATATTAAAAAAAAAAAAAAAAATAACAAAAGAAAAAATGTTTATCGAATTCTACATATTTGTTTAATGTGTGTATGTGAGTTAAACAAGAAAACAACACAAAAAACAGATCCCAGCTGAAAAGCAGCACGACAACAACAACATAGCAACAATAAAGAAAAAAAAACAATGAATATTGTATTTGTTTTGTCGCCGACAAACCGAAATCAATTTTTTATGACTCTGCGGTTAGTCGGTTAGCTGTTATTGTAGTTAATATTTATCCTAACACTTGTCGTGCCCCAACTTAAAAATATAACCGAAGCAACAACAGCAGCAGCGGTAGACAAATTCATTTCTACATTTATTAGATTATCAGCGAACAGAAACTCATGTGAATTATTTTGAAATTCATGTGAATGCTCTGCGACCACAGCTCAGCAGTAGACTAAACATATAGCATATTTTATCTTTATTTTTTCAATTTGCAACTTTTCGACTTCCGTTTTAATATTGAGATAGAAATACAAATCACTGGATTTGATCATAACTTTAATTTGTTTATTGTGTTCATTGAATAATTGACAATACAATGCATTTTGTCAACATACAACGTACAAATCGCTATTAAAAATTGTCCATGGCACAAATGATTCTTTGAGTGGATTATATGATAGAAATATTTCAAGTTCATTATACTGTCAATCAGACAAATCGTCCCGCATTGGGTCTGCCCACTGACTTTGACTTGGACATGGACTTGAACTTCCCCTACCTCTGGCCCGTTGACCAGCATAATGCGTACCGAATATGTATGTAAATATGTTCATATATATATATATATATATAATCATAATAATAATGATTTTCATGCACAAATTCGATTTGTGCTTATCATTGCGTGACACAGCTTCTGGAACCGGAGCAACTGCGGAACTGAGGAGCTGAATGAAACGAACAGCGGATGTCGGGGGCGAACTCAATGATGAGCTATCAAAATTGTATTGCTCAGTTGACGGATGGGTTTTTAACTAATTAGAAATTAAGCATACATATGAGAAGATATGAATGTATCTGTATATATGCGTATGACAATTGCTAAACCCGCAGATGAATATGAATATGAATATGTTGTTGTTTTTTGTTTTCTTCAAATTTTGCATTTTTTGACTCTGACGCACGTGGGCAAACACATGAAATGGCCAACGTCGTCGTTATTATCTATTGTATTGTGTAGTAACAGTTTGGCACACTATTAAATATTGGCCATTATATTAACTGACAAATATTTGTGCATTCGTGCGAGTGTTTTGTGAGACAATTGAGTTTATTTTTAGAAAATTGAAAGTCGAATCAAGCGGAAAGCACATATCGAGGCCATAAGTTGTCTAAGTCTAAAATTAAACTAAATTAGCCCCAGATCAGCAGCAACTGTGCAAACAACTGATCGATAAAATGTTAGATTTCAGCGCTAATCGTTCGTACCCCAAGCCAGAGCCCAAAAAAAAAAAAACCATAAATGATCCCGTAACGTAAACATTCCAAGTGCTTGGGTTATGAAGTACTTATCTGGCAGACATACGCACAAATACACGTGCATAGGCGTGGCAATCGTCAATAATAATGACAATGTACAATAATATCAACAGCACAAGTGGCAGGCAACTGAGACACT